CAAAACATCTTATTCTTCTTTCTTATTTTTTTAAGTTCCTGTTTACAAGAGTATCTTCTTGTACCCTCAGAGTGTGCATGGACTCCACAACTCCAGGTCCATATTTCCTACTTTATTTTTTTGACATCAACCTGAAGGGACTGCTTATTTTCTGGTTTCAGCCATTGTAAATGGAATTATTTCAAAATCTGGCCAACCCTGAATTTACTGTTCTGTCATCTTAAAAGGAAACAAAACAAAACAAAAGTCACCATAGTGCAACAAATGCTTCCTTTCTGTGGAAAGCAAAATGAGAGTATCTTTTGAAATCAGTCTAGCGGTTCCTCAGAAATATGTAGCTATGTCAGGAATTACTGTAAGATGCAGTAATGCACCTCCCAGGTAACTGTGTAAGAAGAGTGCATGCAAAAGGATCAACCTGCAAGGTCCTAACGGCAGTGTTCATGATAGTCACAATGGGAAAATAATCTAAAGTGCCCATCAAATGATGATTGCATAACACAAAATATGGGATGGATGTTAAATAAAAACTTATTTGATGAGAAAAAAGGAATAAAGTAATGGTTTATCCTACAACATAAATGAGTTTTGAATATGTGTGCTGAGTGACAAAAGCTGATAACAAGGGGAGACATGTAGTTTCATTATAACAAGAGTTCAAAATAAGCAGATCTATAGAGAAAGAAATTAGTTGAGTGATTGCTTAGAGTACAGATAAATCGAGTAGAAATCAGGAGGGTGGGCCAATGAAACTAGAGTTTCTATTTTTGTGGTATGGAAATTGGTCTATAATTAATTACAGGGGTGAGTTATGCAATTCTGTTAATACATTCTACTAAAATATTGAATTATGGATCTTGAGTAAACTTTATAGAACATGAATTAAATCTCAACATTTCATATTTATATAGACATGAAACACACACACATATCCATTTTAATTTATCATTTGACCTCAAGTATATTTGAATGAAAATGAATTTAGAAACTGATCTCTAATTTTGCGCCTGTCAATCATCCTTGCCAGAAGGAAAACTTTCCTCTATTTTATTTTTTACTTAGGTTTTTTAGTTTGGGAAGTAACCTAACAAAAGACAGATTAAAGGCAGGTAACACAGATCTTTATTATTATTTAAATATATTTAAGACTTCTGTGTCCTTTTAACAAAGGCAGAGACTTTGACCTTCAAGACATGATTTGCTTTGGGCAACAGACTATGAAATGTGTGGGAAAATTAACTGAACATTTGACTTAGTGAAAGCTGATGTACAATCTCATTTTGATATAGATACTTCCACATTCCATGAAAATGGTCTGTCTTCTCCACTGGTACTTTAAATGGAAATGCATATTTTGCTTTAGCTAGATAGGGAGATGGACAGAGTAGTATTCCACATGTATTGATTCTCAGGTATCTTTGGCTTAAAATAATCATTCTCTTGGAAACACTGGCATGTTATGCAGCCTCCTCCTTATTTTTCTCAATGTGTCATTTCTTCAGTAATATGCTGAAATTTGTATTGCGGAACTCATGGATTAACAAGATGCTGAATCTTAGGTGTTTTGGTCCTAGACTTTTTACCTTCTCTTATTTTAGGGCTTTCTGACCATATACTGGCAGACATTATCTTCTTTAGAGGGACTGAATGCTTTCAGATTCTTTGGGTTTCCTACTGCTCAGGTACCACAGTATCTATCAATGCAAAAATCTCTCTCTCTCTCTCTCTCTCTCTCTCTCTCTCTCTCTCTCTCTCCCTCTTTCCTCTCCTTAATAAGCAGTTGAGAACATCAGATTGGTATCCACAAAAAACAAACAAACAAACCAACCCCCAAAACAGACTAGCACTTTTCTCCCTGGTCTATAAGAGATAGCTCAGAGGGAATAATTATTAAATTGTCCTTTTTTGAGATAGAGATTTTAACACAATTTATGCACATGGATACTTTGACTTTAGGTGTGTCTGTGTGTTTCCATATGTGAAACGGCCAAGGCCGTAAGAGGATCTGGGATCCCCTGGAACTGGAGTTACCAACCATTGTCAGCTGCTGTGGGTTGCTGCTGTGGGTTGCTGAGAATCAAACCCTGACACTCTGGAAAAGCATTCAGTCCTTTTAAACACTGAGCCATCTCTCCGGACCTCTTGAAATAATTCTTAACAGAAAGGAGAGAGTGTTGTGGAAGCAGCTGTGACATTTCAAACTGCAAGTTGTGCTTTCTATGCTCTGGTGAATCTTAGCCACACACAAGTGAAGAGACACTGTATTTCTGTGTATCTTTGTGGAGATAAATATATCACTGCCGCTGATCCAAAGTGCAATAAAAATCATTTCAGATTACATGATTAATGCTAACAAATCGGCCAGCCTCCCTCATCTTAATTTCTAGTATCCGTTCTCCAAGTCCAAACTCTCAGTTAGCTGATCAGTACTTCTTTGTCATTTCCACCTTCTTGTGACTGTCGTTCCCAGCCAGTATGGCTTTTCCTGACACATTCCATCTTGCAGTTTACTAGATTTCTCCCAGGAGAGGGAAAGAATATGATGGCAAACCTGCCTGCGATAGTCCTTGTCTTGGGGTCCATAGGTGTTCCGTGTACTCTTCTGGTCTAATAGGCCCAGAAGAGAATCAAATTATGAGCTACCTATTTTCGTCATGCTAAATATAAGAATGACAGTTACAAAGATTCAGTCTTTCTAAAATCAGTTCATGGTTTCCAAGGTTTTAGTGAACTGAGACTTTCTTTGAGGAAAGATTGAATTAAAACATTACATTTTGATCCAAACGCTTCTAGCCTTGCAGGTTCGTCACAAAGTTGCCTAATTCTTTATGGTTTTTTGTTTTGTTTTGTTTTAAAATATGTACACATGCATGTTGCATATAGTCTACATAGTGATGGCTGTTTACATGTGGCTGCCTGTTAGCTATTATCCAATATGGTAATCAAGTATGGTCCAATAACAGACGTGAAATCAATATTACTTCATACAGTGAGATTATTGGGGGTAAATACCAAGTAAATGATATATTACTGTTATTTGCAAGAATTAGACTTTGAAACAGACTCATCCTTTAATGATACAGGGTTTTAAGAAACAAAAATGTTGCTAGAGTCAACTGAGCAGTGTATCTGAATAGGTAGTTTTCTAAGGTTAGCTAGTCTGAACTTTTTAATAAACCATATTAAGCCCAGACTGGTAACTGCACAACTGGTAATATATTCCCTTTATAATGGTGCTTTAAGTATTCCACTGGAACAGGGCCAGTGGATTTGCAATATTCTTAGTTACCATTCTGAGGAACAGTGGACCTTACATCAGCTCCACCATCGCTACTGTTAGTGGCAAAAATACTGTGAGCAACAGCAGCTCGTATCAACAGGGAGCCATATTAATTATTTGAAATGTGCCTCGTAAGAGGAATCAGTGGCGTTTATTACAAGCCGAATATTACTTGAAACGGTAAGGTTACTCTAACTGTTATCATAATCTATGTATCATTAACTTTCCTTGTTTAGGAAAAGAGATTAACAACCCTGTAAATTGCTATAGTAAACGCGTAAAGTATAACTACGTATTCCCATATACAAAGAGAGTGGTGGCTTCTCCACCTCTGCCCAAATCTTCTTTGTATGAAGTAGCTTCAGAAAACGAAATGACTTGGTAATTACTCATTCTTGCTTCAGAATCCTAATGGCTTCTTGGATCATCAGTAAAAATGATAGCTACTTTGAGCATTGTAATTTTTCTTTAATTTACGTCAGTCTTTCTTCTTTTTTGTGTTTCTTGATGGGTTGATGGGGCACATGATTGCGCTATGTTGCCAAGACTAGGCAACTCAACTTTTTTAAAAGAATGATCATTTTAGTTTTTAAATCAACATTTGTATTTTTTATTTATAAGAAAAAGTATGTTAAAAGGAAATATGTGAGGGTGTAGAATGCTTTCCAAGAACAGAAAAAGAACCTACCTTCTTGCTGTTCGAATTCTGGCTAGTTCTTCCTTTTCTATCAAGTTACAACCAGCGGATTAAAATAGATTTCCCTTCCAACTATGGAAGAAATGCCTTAAGGAAAACCATGTTTGTCAGGGTTCCAACACCCTAAGTGCCATCCAGATATTTCTTGTACATGGAGTATTAGCTTGAAAATTGTTTAACACTGATGGACAGTGAAATTAGTGCAGCTGATAGTGCCAACAATACTGGAGCCAGAAGACAGAGCCCTGAAAGTCTCTTTATTCTTAATAACTTTAAAGTATTCAGATAGACATATTTATGTTTCTGAGGTTTTCATTTTTTTTCTTAACACCCAGTTTACAAATCACAATCATCTACAATTTCAATAAAAAGCAAACTAAATATTAAACACATGCATACCACAAACACACACACACATACACACACACACACACATAGTCCCCAGCACTTGGTAAATATATGTAAGTCATTCCTGACTACATTGCAGTTTTAAAAGTCAGCATGGGTCTCACAAGAGTTTGTCTGGGATAAAGAGACAGAGAGAGAGAGAGAGAGAGAGAGAGAGAGAGAGAGAGAGAGAGAGAGAGAGAGAGAGAAAAGGAAGAGGGAGGGCAACCTGTAAAGAAGAATATAAATCATTTTAAAAGATCTATAGATCTATCTTGGTTAGAAAGAAGAATCAATTTAATTGGGTGAGGTTTGGTTTATGTTTAAGAAAATTGTTTTATAATCTACAGTGGGTATTTCTTTTCTGTGTGGAATAAAAAATGATAGAAAATCCTAAAATTTTTAAAATAAAAGACAGCTATAATGTGTATTTTTGTATTATTTATTTGTGTTTCTGCATGCACGTGTGCGTGAACATTCAGGCCATTAGTCTTAAGGCTAGAAATTGAGGACAGCTTGTAGGGGTCATTTCTCTCCTTCCATAATATTGGCCTAGGGATCCATAACATTTTCCTTTCTCCACCGAGCCATATCATGGTTCCTATGATGTCTTAATATTTCCTTTTGTGTTCACAGGGCCAGTGCATCATGGACAAGTTTCCTATATCTCTCCACCTATTCACCTTGACTCTGACCTAGAACGACCCCCTGTTAGAGGTAAGTTTTCTTGATTAAGGGAGAAGAACCAGTATTCAGTGTGGAGTATGGGTAATTAATGAAACTGGAGGTTGTTATAATATACATTTTTAGTACAATACCTGTTTAGAAATGAAGAAAACTAATGTGTGAATAACAACTCAGAAAATCTAACTTACTAAAAAGATATGATATATTGTTTAAAGAAAGAGATGAATCAATCGATTAAAAAACTAGGTACCTGGAGGCATTTAAATAGAGGGCTGTTTGAATCCCTGTTGTATCTGGAGACTTTTCTCTGTCCCGCCAGTCCTGCTGGATTTGTTTCTCTCCAGCCCACTGGTCCCTACAGTAAATTATAAAATAATCATTTGAAGGCTTAATATTAATTACAAACTATTTGGCCTATTAGCTCAGGTTTCTTAGTGGCTAGCTCTACATATTAATCAACCCATTTCTAATAATCGTGTATCGCCATGTACCCCGTGCCTTACTTGTAGTACTCTGACAACTTATTTCTCCGATGGTTGCTGGCTTCTCCCTGACTCTGCTTTCTTTCTCTCTGTTTCTCTACTTGGATTTCTCACCTGGCTATCTTCTGCCCTGCATTAGGCCAAAGCAGCTTCTTTACTAACCAATGGTAATAAAACATATTCACAGCATACAGAAGGGAATCCCACATCACCTATTTAGAATGACAGGTCACCAGATTATTGCTCGGATTTATCTTTCTATCATCAAATGTTTTTATTAGTGAATTCTTGTTTGCAATGTCATAATCAAAGTCACAGTGAAAGAAAATTTCCTTGGAAATTCATATTTTTTATGAATAATTTTCAAAGTCTTTGAAATTTCTGTATTATTATTGATTTATAAAATCATGCAGATTAAAACTGTTTTCCTTGGATGCCAAGAAAACTCATTTGAAAATATTTTTATTGCTCATACACAATAAAAAGTGAAAGATAACGTGAGTTAGCTTAATATGTAAATATAGAATTCATTTTTCTGTTTTAAAAGAAATTCTAGTCCCTACTCTTCAAAATATTTCATTGTGTACAAACATAATGTTCCACAGTCATACCTTCCAGTTTTACAGCTAACAACTATGCCAAAGTTAGTGTTTTGTTTTTAAGTATATGGTGTTTTTTTTTTTTTGTATCAAAATCATCAAAGGCTTAACCAAAGCCAGTAGATATGAGTTTTTTGAGGTTGTCTTCTGTTTGAGCAGTTCCTTCTGGCAGTCCCTTATCTCCTGTGCATCATGTAGAATTCTGCTGGATAGGAGGGCTGCACTTTCCCACCTGTCTGGCAGTGTCCCTTGACCTACAAAGAGGCATTCCATGCACAATCACCCCATGATTCCCCAGGTTATTTCCCCTAAGACATTGTATTTGATTGGCCAGTGGGCATGCTTTCCTCCCCTATCTTTGTGCTCCTGGAGGACAGAGTGTTGTAATTATTGTTTCCCAGCCGCTGGGCTGAGCTTAGTACGCATTGAAAGCACTCCAGTGATTTCTGTTGAAATGACCAACAGTGAAAAGCAATAGAGTAAACACTTCTGAAAATACTTTTCTGTTTTACAAGAGACCTAGTTCCAGGGTACATAAGGGACTCCCGTGGAGAAAAAGCACAATGAACCAACACAGAAACTATGAGGCTTTTGTCGTTTTTAAGAGAACGTGCTGGAAGGGAAGATTAGAATGATGAAATATGACAGCTTTTAAAGAATTCCATATTCTGTACCATAAGGTTTGTACTTTGTCTTGGGGAAAGCTTCTTTTGGGGTGTTTCCTCCCAAATGAAGGTTGTACCATATTATCAGTTCTGGCTGGAGACAAAGACGCCCTCTCTGGCATCAGGGTGGAAGATAAGGTGATTGGGGAAGAGGTTGGCAAAGGAAGGCAACTCCCCTAGTTAAGATGAAAGATGATGGTGCGCCTCACTGGCATTGTGCCAGCAGTGATGAGAGGACCTGAAACACACCGGAGGTGTGGTATCTGGATGACTGGCACACGGATGGAGCTAAAGCACCTCTGAGATTGCTGTGTTGACTGACGGCTCATGTAGCTTGAGTGTTTGTACCCTTTCCAGATTTTATGTTGAAATTTAACCCTCAGTGCAGCAGTTCTAAGGGAGGGCCTCTGCGCTCAAAGGTGTGGATGTCAGCATCAAAAGGGAAGAGACTGTTCAGGTGCCCAGTTGCTTTGCCGTGCTCCTACTGTGAGGTGTGAGAGTGGTCATCTTAGAGAGGGAGAACAAACTTCTCCTGAGTCGGACAGCCTCTTGGATTCCCGAGCTTCTGAAACTGGAGAAAAATGTTTATATCTTCTTTTTAAATTACCCAGTTTGTCAGAGTCCAGGCTCAATGGGTTCATACGTTCCAGAATAGGGGTGTGTGGATTAGAAATATTAGGCAGAAAAAAACAGGGATACAAAAGAAAAAGACAGAGACACAGGGCAGAGTCGGGAGAACAACCCAGTGAATACTGAATTTGTCCATGTTTATTTCCCATATGCTTTATATACCCCAATCCAAAAGGGGCCGGGGGTGGGGGAAGCCAAAAACTGCATTACACTGATGACAAAGAACAAACAGAGCAATTACCTCTTCAGTATCTGAAGCATCAAGTAACTATATCCTGCATTAAGTATTCTGTTGTTTATGCAGAACATGCATTGACCACACCTTAGGAAAAGCATCCTATAGGCAACCACACCCTGGATCAAGCCTCCTGTCATATTTTATTTATTTATTTATTTAGGATTTCTGTCTCTTCCCCACCACCGCCTCCCATTTCCCTCCCCCTCCCCCAATCAAGTCCCCCTCCCTCATCAGCCCAAAGAGCAATCAGAGTTCCCTGCCCTGTGGGAAGTCCAAGGACCACCCACCTCCATACAGGTCTAGTAAGGTGAGCATCCAAACTGCCTAGGCTCCCACAAAGCCAGTACGTGCTGTAGGATCAAAAACCCATTGCCATTGTTCTTGAGTTCTCAGTAGTCCTCATTGTCTGCTATGTTCAGTGAGTCTGGTTTTATCCCAGGCTTTTTCAGACCCATTGAGCCTATAATTAGTGATCCTAGAGAAGCTAAATAAGAAGGAGACCCCAAAGAAAAACATATAGGTATCCTCCTGAATATTATCCTTCATCAGGCTATGAAAGGAGACAGAGACAGAGACAGAGACCCACATTGGAGCACCGGGCAGAAATCTCAAGGTCCAAATCAGGAGCAGAAGGAGAAAGAGCACGAGCAAGGACCTTTGGACCGCAAGGGGTGCACCCACACGCTGAGACAAAGGGGATGTTCTATTGGGAACTCCTGTCATATAATTGAAGCAGCAGGAACAGGCTTGTACTCTCTGACCTTTGATCAAGGTGAATCGGATCTACACCCATGGGCTCCAACACCAGTCTCAAATATTTTGATACAGTAACGCAAAGTGTTTGAGATGCCTACTGATAATGACAGAATATCTCATGAAGAATACGCACGAATGTGAATTGATACATTGTTTTATACATGCTAATTATTCGAATACTGTTCTTTCCAAGACTGAAGAGCAGTTTACACAAGCTGAGTACTTTATCAGAATCCCATTATTTAGATATTATTCCAGTATAATTTGAGAAAGAACATTTGCAAGTCATGGCTGGGCTGGATGGTGGTGGTGAACGCCTTTAATCTCAGCACTTCTGAGTCAGAAACTGGCGAATCTCTGTGAGTACAAGACCAACCTGGTCTGCACAGGTAGTTCCAAGGTGACAAAGGCTACAGAGAGAAACCCTGTTAAAAAAAAAAAAAAAATCATGGCTGGCTGGGCAGTGGTGGCACATGCCTTTGATCCCAGCAGAGGCAAGTGCATCTCTGTGAGTTTGAGGCCAGCCTAGTCTTGGAAGTGAGTTCTGGAACAGTCAGGGCTACACAGGAAAACCTTGTGTTGAAAAATCAAAAAGCATGACTGGAATGAATAAAGAATATACTCCAGAACATTAAATCTAGACAGCAGATATACTATCGCTCCGAGAGTTGGTTGAGTAGACTTTGTGCTGATGTGGCTAAATGCTCAGTTGTCAGCAGTCCAGCTGGTTTTGTCAAGGCATGGGTCAAACATGTTTTAACAAATGCCTTGCTGTCATCTAGGAAGTGACCTAACGCCTCTCCTGTTGCTCTTCAATCTGGTCCAGCACTTTTGCTGTCGTGGCAGAATGGGGCCCCAGTAATAGGAAGCCTAGCTTGAGGTTGAGCCGCTACCTAAGTCAGGTTTGCCTAATGTCTCATTTGTCATAGAAGTCACATAGCCCACCTCAGACTTCAGAGAGCAGAAGTCAATTACCTCTTATCATGGAGGAGCCAGAGTTCAAAGAAACCTGGATACATGAAGAAAAGAGGTGTGAGAAATTTGAAAAAGAAAACATATGAAAATAAAATGAATTCAGAAAGGCTCTGAAAATGTTTGATTTGGAGGTTTTGGGCCCTTTTGATTTGAGTGTCCTCAACCACCTCACAAACCTGAAGGTGGAATTTAAAGTGGCTGTGAATACTGAGGACATGGAGCAGTGTCCGGCGTTTGGTGAACCCTGCATAATAGATAGCTGTTACTGCTGTTTGAGTTCATTGCGATGGTGTATAATACTAGGCTATTCTGGCAGGGTTATTAGAAGGAAACAATACATGTTAAGCACCTGCCTCATACCGGAGCTTAAGAAATTCTCAGGAAGGTAGGTAGCCATTGTTAAGACCTGGATTTCAAATGGCATATCCTCCCTGTTGATGGGCGCTTTTGAGCTGGTAAAGACTGAATGATGGTCTTCCACAGTCACCAATCCTTAATACCTACCCCAGACAGTATAGAGATTTTATTTTTATATAACTTTTTAAAAGAACAACAGCTTTAGAGTCAAAGCATTCATACCCATGAATCCTCTTCATCACTGCTGCCTACACAGGACCCAAATAAAGATGACATCAGTAGACATGCAACATGGAGGGGAACTGCCCTCAGAGAATGACTGTCTTCA